TTAAGGACAGAGATGCCGGATTAAACCGACGACTTTGAAATATCGTGGGTCCGACCTTCGTGCGCGCACTCACTCCAGTTTTGCCACGTCCCATAAATCGCATTTTCCGCGGTATTTCGAGGAGCGAACTGTATCCTTCACCACTGATTAGAAAACTTCGCGCTTCGCCGTTTTCGCTCTACCCGAGGCCGTATTTGATTTGGCTTTAATGCGATTTTTCGCGGTTAACAGCCGCAGCTCGTAACCATTCCCGGCAACAGCAGCTCCGTGGGGAGCGAAACGTATGGCGGCGCGGAGCGGCGAACTCGATTATCTCGCCGTCCTTTTTCACCCCCCCGATGAAGAAGCCGCTGTTAGCTTTCTCCGGCCCAAACTTCAATTACTTAATCCTTTTAACGATAAAAGCATCTCCGATTTCAGTGCGGCATCAGGCGGGACCGTGCAGTAAAATATCGCAGAATTCACGCGAACTTTTGACTTAATAATGACGCCCTTTGTGAGATTCACGTAACTATTTCTATCTATTATATATAGGAGAAATTAAACCTCGGTTTATCTCCATTCGAAGCACAGATTTCGTGGAGTTATATTTAATGGGAATGATATAAGTTGTAAGATCGATGTGACGTTATCCGGAGAAACGCTGTTAAAAATTGACGTATCATGACAGCGCAATCAATCACGATCGTTTTTCTTCGACACTATCGTGATTGCTCACGTATTTATACGCATTCGGGTATCTAAAAATCTGGAAAGTTATATATTTTCACGTGTTACTAGAATTATTTATTTAACGATCATATACTCGATATAACATTTTTAAATATATACGCTCAATCGATATCATCATTTTTGTCAAATTCGAGATTCGGTTAGCGTTTCATTTTCACGTAACTAGCAACCTTCGAGTATTGCAAAAGTATCAATAACGAGGTCACAGCGACGATAATGGTCGGCGCGTACTCGTGTCTTCGGTATTATTCCGGTGACTTCGCGAATGCGAAGGGGAGAGAGAACTTACGCCATGATAATATTCAACCGAGTCTACAGCGGGTTATCACGGGGCAATATCTACGGTGGCTAGGGGGAAAACTTGGCTGTACTCGAAGCAAGCGGACACCCTCGTGGCAGCGCAATCGATCGTGCTCTTTCTTCCTTCGTGTGGAACTCGCGTTCTCCGCGACACGAGATAACGTGCAATCGCGATGCGTGGGAGCCGTGTATATCGATCTTCCTCCACTCAAGTCCTTCCATTCATACACTCGAAATTTCTTCGAGTGAACGTTCACTCCGAAAAAGTGTAGACACCCAGCCGCTCTTTTGAAAAAGAACGAAAATATTTCGCTTCTCGAGGGAAGAGTGACAATTTTCGAGAAGTGAAATATTTTCACTCGGAGTGAAATTTCACTTGAAGAAATTTCGAGTGTATGCGCCGAGTGATTTATAGCAGCGTATATTTTGGAAATGTAAAAAGAAAAATGATAAAGGGGTTCGGCCCCTTTCTCAACAACGATTCTAATCTTTTTACGCTTCCCACTCAATTTCCCCGTTATTGCTCAGCGTCGACAGAAAATTCACACATGCGTATACGTGGACAGTGACACGCGCGTACACATACCCACACACATACACACGCACACATATACACTTGATACGCTCTACGCCCTTCCTGTCCTTAACGTTACCCTTACATGACTAATTGTAACCCCTTCAGTCAAGTTTTTTTCTCGTACACGCACCTCTCGATACAAGCAAGAGTCTTTAATGATATGACGATGACCGTGATATGACATGATACGATATGATATGATAATGAGATGATTAATGTGATCATGATCATGATTTCTTACCATGATTTTTATATTTACTTATTTGTTGCACGTTGTTTGGTGCGTCTCCGTAAGCAGTATGAGGCGCTCGCAGACCCCCTGGTCGTCGACATTTCGAAACAGTGCTCCCTCATCCCTTGAAAGTAAATGAGGAATTAATTTATGCGAATGTCCCCGTGAGTCCCTTCGGTTTAAAAGCGACTCTCAAGCCCTTTCAAGCCCTTAGCCCAAAAAAAAAAAAAAGTAAGAATCGATATCTCGCCGTCAATTGCAATCTTTTCATTTTTTGCGAAGATAAAGATATTAATTCTATTGTCAATTAGATTAATTTATTAATTCACACTTTTCTCTGTACACGTATTATAATTTTTAATATGGCAAGATTCCGACGTACTATATATGCCATTATACGATTAAACTTCAACATTTGAAGTATCTCTGTGATACACTTGACTTATTAATAATCGCTAATTAATTGTTTAAAATTGTTGTGATTTTTTTCCGGTTCTATATAACAACTCTCGTTTTATTTCTGGACGTTAAATGCGCGAGTTCTTAGAGTATCGTCCTGAAACTCTGAAATAATAAAGCGCGGATGACAGGATACGAATAAACGGATAGATAGCTCTATTCCTTTCAACTTTTGCGATAGCGGTGGAATAAGAGAAGCGCGAGATTTATGGAAAATAACAAAAAACGAGATATCCACGAAAGCCTCTGTCGCTTCGTCGCGTCTCGAGGGAGCCTCGGGAATTAATTAGCGTGTCTCGCGCGAAACATAACGGTTCAGAGAGAGAGAGAGAGAGAGAGAGAGAGAGAAAGACGGCTATTGTGCGTCAAAGAAATAAATAGGGCCGGCTCGGAGAAGGAAACGCCGGCAGGGCTGAGGGTGATGGAAGGGTTCAAAGAGAAAGAGAGGAGCACAAAGGAGCTGGCCGGTGTTGCCCGCGGCGAAACGGAAGAATCGAGCTTTCTGCGTCTTCCGTCCAATCTTCGATGAGAATGGGATCGATCCTCTATATTGTCTCTATTCGATACGAAAATCCGTTCAAAGATCGGGAAAAGAAAGTAAATGGTCGAAAAGTGTGTCTCGCAAGTGTAATTCACGGTTAAACGCGACGAAGCTGTATATTTATGTCTCTTTTGACATAAATGAATTTTCACATTTTGTGCACTTGAAAAAAATTCTCTAGTTTTTTTTTGTCATACCGCTACAGTAAAAATAGAATTAAATAATCGACGGAAACGCGCGCGTTCTTTATCGCATCAAACGAAATGAAATCGTCGCAGCGCGAGACGGGGGTTGCTTTTTTTTTTTTTTTTAATCAGTCACCCTCGTTGCGCCCCGACGATATCCTTTTCGGAGTATCCTCCATGTATGTACACCTTTCCCCGCCCACCGCCCTTTCACCACGTACCTCACTAGTGCGTACATATATTACATGTACGTAAATGAAATATATTACATATACGCGCGCGCGTGTTACATGTGTACGCGCGCGCGAAGACGAAATGTCGGCCCAGCCAGTCGGCTTTTTGCGGAGCGCTGGCAGTCTGTAAGTTGAGTTTAATGCATGTTGTTTTGTCTGTCCTTGCATGCAGGGATTCGGTTTTGTAACATTCGCAAATAGTGCTGACGCGGACCGGGCACGTGAGAGGCTACACGGCACCGTGGTTGAGGGCAGAAAGATTGAGGTGTGCATGAACTTTCTTATACTTATACATACATATATATATATATATATGTATATATATATATACACATACATATATATATATATATATATATATACATCGCTATTAATCTCCATTGCGAATAGATGTAATCTTTTGTTTTTTTTTCCAGGAAAGTCGAGTGGGTGCATTCCTCTAACGGAATGCGCGCACTCTCGATGTGAAACGGCGACCACGATCTAAAGCTCGATTCGTTTGATTATATGACGGCTTCGTAAATCTGTCTCTTTGAGTGTACGTTTTCAAATTTTTTGTCGAGTAACAGTGGTCGCCTGATAGCTCTAAGTCCGGCACTTTGAGTCCCGAGTATCCACTGAGGTTATAAATTTCCCGGGTGAATTAATTAGTCGTAAAATAAATGAGGTTTTCTTGTTAATCTCGATGAAAAAAAAATCTCCGTTTATTGCGCAAAATTTACATTTTGATACATAATAGCGCTGATGAAGAGAAGTCAGATGGATACCCGCGACGCAAAGGTCGTTAATCTAAGAGACTGGAATAAATCGCTATGCGATCGAAGATGCCAGACTGACGACGCCATCGTAGACACGACCGTTTTGAAACGGCTACGATTCGAGCTATCGGCAGTCGACATCGCGATTCGACGGAGCTTTTTGTTCGAAAAAAGAAAAGTTAAAAGTATTTATATCGCAATATATAATTAACGAAACGCGAGTTAATTTCACGAGCTAGAGGAAGAGATACTGAAT